CAATTTGCACAAGCTCATCAAAATTGGGACAATAGAAGATTCGCATCATGGATGTGCAGCTGACAAATCAGCGGCAACTGTGTGATGCCATCATGTCAATATGGACCAAAATCTCTGAGGAATGCTTCCAGCACCTTGTTGAATCTATGCCACGAAGAATTGAGGCAGTTCTGAAGGCAAAAGAGTGTCCGCCATGTGATTGGCTGATTAGAAATTAAGTGTTAACGAGCAGTTGGACAGGTGTACCTAATAAAGTGGCCGGTGAGTGTATATTTAAATTCTACACCATAATGTCACCTTCAGTTGTTATTAAAATGCTGTTTATATGTTTAAATAGAAAATAAACTCGACTTCTCATCATATCTGTTTCTAAACACCTTGAAATTGGCCCCTGTCTTTTTAAGAACCACCTTCTGCTTCTGTCCCGCCCATTTCAGCACAGGGCCTGGTGTGTGTGTGTGCTCTGTGATGAGGAAGCTCGGCTTAGAGACACAGCCCAGAGGAGGAGCTGATTCCAAAAGGCGATTCTAGTCCCAATCAGTTGTTTTGCTCCCGCCTGGCTGTCTCAGGACACTACAGGATTTCTCAAACATGCATGAATGAGTCAGAGTAAGACTCTGGACATGTTTTTGATGAGAGGATAACTTTATAACATGATATAATACTCAAAAAAGTTGAATATACATGATATTGCCCCTTTAAGATTTTTACTTTCATTGGATGTAAAACCTGGCTCTCACACAAAGAGATTTAGTCAATATCAGCGTATACTGTATGTTTTAGGGTATTAGTTCAGTTTTATTTTCTGGTCTTGGTCTTGACTCCGTCTCACCCTCCCTCAGTCTTAAGTCTAGCCTTGGTCCAGCCCCTAAAAGTCTTGGTCTTGTCTCAGTCTCAATTCACTCTGGTCTTGGTTTTGACTTCATCTTGGATTAGGTGGTCTTGACTACAACACTAACAGCCTCAAAACGATCACAAATTGTCGTAGGCATCTCCATCCCATTCCAAACCCACCTGGACTGTGGTGGACGACATCAGCTTGTTTCAGAGCATCACAGCTGCATTTTGATTCCTGCAGGAGTTTCTGACTGAGACATCTGAGGAGGGGGAATACATTGATGATTAAATCGGCCAATCTTTATTTAAAAAGTGAACTCCAGTAAATCGTAAGGCGGCTGCAGAAAAAGATACAAAAGGGAGCAAAACAATGCACATGGCCAATGGTATAGTTTTGCAAACTGTGCGCACAAAAATAGACCACGATTTTAAAAACTGAATCGATGGTTTCTAACTGTAAATTCACATTTTTCCTTTAAATTTCCCTGTGATTTTGAGTCACCAACTAATGTCCCAACAACTTCATTTATGTGGGATCCTCCATAAGGTCCTGTCAAAAAAAAATAAAATTAATTAATTTTGGTGAATCTGCAAGGACTCAAGCTTGTTTCGAGCATCTCTGTTACAACTATGGTTTCTAAAAACTAAAACAACAATGAAGCAGTTTTTAAAGAATTTTCTGTTTGTCTTTGTTCACTGATCACTCACCATTGAACTCTGATGGTAAGGGTTTAATAACTGAAATGAAACTAAAAATCTGTAATCTACTACTGTATGTGCTCTACCTACCACAAGTGTTTTTGTTATACAGAAGGATTAAAAGATATAAACAAATGTGATTATCTAGATTGGAGTGAGTCATAATCAATGAGAAAAAAAAAACTCTGATCTTCTGAACAAGTTTTAAAAATTTAGATTTGTATTCTTACAATTAGTATTATCTAGCAAACGGCAGCATGTAATGGAGTCAGGAAATGCCAATGTGGCCTATACAGTTTTCTTTTCTTCATACAAATCTGAACCTGAAAAATACTTAAATCAAATGTGATATTTGTCAGACCACATAAAAAAAAACCTACAATCAGTTTATAACATCCATGTAACCTGAATGTTTTGGACTTGAGGAGGAAACCAGAGTAAAACCTGGTCTGGGATCAACCGAGCCCCGTCTACACCGTCTACATGTGGATCTGTGTTTGAAGACTTTGTAGAAAGTAAACAAAGTTCTGCAGAGATCTGTTTACAGACCTGATGGATCGGTAGGTGGAGACTAAAGAGTCCAGGTCTATCCCGACCCCTTCTGACATCAGACCAGTTTTTCTTGTGCTTCGAACACACCATGGTTCTGAAGAATTCCTGGACAGTTTGTCCTCTGCTTTTAGGAATCGCTGCTGCTGCAGGTCAGAATATCTTACACTAAACGTTTGTTTGGAAAATGTTGGTTTTAAATCCTGATTATCTGCTTGGTAAAAAAAAATCTATGTCAAATCTGTTTTGACTATAGAAATATTGGCTAAAATTATGTTATGTAATTCTAATTATTTATCAACATATTTAACAATAAATAATGCTGGAAACATTTAAAGCATTCGGCAAGTTGATGATTATTGGGTTAATGGCTCCATCTAGACAATGGGTGGGCATTCCTGGTCCTTGAGGAGCCACAGTCCTGCATGTTTTACTTATTTTTCTGCTCTAACACAGCTGATTTGAAAGAAAGGATGATTATGAGGCTTCTGCAGAACTTGGAAGAGGTAATTCAGTGACTGAATCAGGTGTGTTCAAGCAAGGAAAAAAGTAAAACACGTGGCCCTCGAGGACCAGGATTGCCCACCTTGCTAAGGTTCCATCCTGATTCAGTGGTTTTATCTTCAGTGTTTGTGGAGAAACACGAAGCCGACTTGGTTCTGCGGAGATGGCGCCGGGCAAACAGTGGTTTCTTTGAGGAGATGAAACAGGGAAACCTAGAAAGGGAATGCAATGAGGAGATCTGCAACTACGAAGAAGCTCGGGAAGTGTTTGAAAACGACGACAAGACGGTCAGACACACCCAACAGAAAAAGATTTGACACATTCGGAAGCTAATTGTTCATTTTACATAAAGTTTAACAAAATATGACCAGCAGAAAATGTGTTTATAGATCTGTAAATATTGAATACAAGGGAATAATTCAGATTTTTGGTGTATGGCAGACCAGTCAGATATTGATCTGACTCACAGTAGAAATGTCTTAAGATGATTACCTGGGTTTTCTCAGAAGAGCTGAGCTAATAGCTAATGGCTGGGGTTAGGGTAATCTAGTCTAAACTAATCTGAGCCAAACAAAGACCATGTGGGCCACTGACAACTTAAAGTGGCTTCAATCCTAAAAATATACCAGTATTAATACAAACCATTGCATGACATGGCAGCAGCAGCTGCTAACTGTATCATGTCCTGTGCAGTTTGAGACTCTGCAGGAATAGTGGAGTAATGTGAAACTGGCAGTAATGAAACGGTTTTTAAAATCACTGTGAAATTTCAGAGCTTTTGGTTGTTTTAGTGGCCCACTTTGGTCCTGGTCCTATTCTGACTACCTGTTAGCTTTTCAGTCAGAATTTAACTTGTTAAACTTTAAATGATCTGAACAATTGTTCCAAATATTAAGAAAAAAAAATCAACTGGTGCATAAATAAGGACAAGTAAGTTTGATAAAATACATATATAATTTGAGAGTTTTATGTTTTTCAGAGGGAGTTCTGGAAGACGTACAGCGGTAATTACTGCTCATTATTTACTACATTAAGTTCAACAATAACAAACTAGGCTTCAAACAGTTGATGGTACCCCAACACTAACACTAACCCTCAAACACACCAAACATTTTAAATGCAGCCATAGATTTTCTAACTTATTTTTGTCAAAGACCAAACTGGGATATCTTTGGTGAATTTTCATTAAGTCTTTTCCAATATATTTGAAGAAATATGGTTCTACATAGATAACCACAAATATACAAGTCTTTGCCGTGTTTTTCTGTAAAATGATTGGAGTAGAACAGACTGGTAAAATATATGATTTCCAAGATAATTTGTTATTTTGAATAAAAACAAGCTGTAAAAAAGATGCAATGGGATTAATGCATTGACTTATTTAAGATGCGTCAAGTTTCAAAGAAAAATGTTCTGGTGAACCTTTCTCGGAGTGACCCTGGATGAACTCTGACATGTTATTTTCTTATGGTTTATTAATTTAGAAGTGTTCAGATTGTAACAATAATTCTGATTAAAGGTCGTGAACCCTGCCTGGTCAATCCCTGCAAGAACAAAGGATTGTGTATAAATGTTGGAACCTCGTATGAATGTCAGTGTCCTGAAGGATACGAGGGACGATACTGTCAGACAGGTGAGAAAACATTTTACTAACAGCAACGTTACCAAAAAATCTACAGTTTTTATACATCAATCATCCATCCATCCATCCACGAGTCAGGTCTTTGGGGCAGCAGCTTCATTAGGGAGGTCCAGATCTCTCTTTCCATGTGCAGAACACCTCCCTAGGGAGGCTTTCAGGGGTCTTCCTTACCAGATGAACCACCTCAGCTGGTTCCTCTGGATGTGGAGCAACAGCAGCTCTACTCTGAGTCTCTCCGGGAGAACTGAACTTCTCACCTGATCTTCCAGAGGTCTCCAAGAGAGAGTCCAGCTACCCAACAGAGAAATTTTGTTTGGACCTCCTGGATATGGTTCTTTCAGTCACTACCTAGAGTTTGTGACCATAAATGAGAGTGGGACCGTAAACCAACCTGTAAACAGAGAGCTTCACTTTACAGCTCAGCTTCTTCTTAACTACAACAGACCAGTACAGAGTCCACAATACTGCAGAAGCCACACTGATCCATCTGTAGATCGGACATTTCATTCTTTCTTCACTCGTGAACAGAACCCAGAGACACATGAACTCCTCCACGTAAGGCAGAACCTCACCCCAACCCGAAGAGAGCACCCTTTTTTGACTGGGGATCATGGATTTTGAGATGCTGATCCGCATCCCAGATGCTTCACACTCGTCTGTGATCTGCTTCAGGGAGAGCTGAAGATAACAGCCCGATGACACCTACAGGACCACATTGTCTGAAAATAGCATACGTAGATGGAGTCCTGAGGCCACCAAATCAGACTCCCTCCACCCCCTGGCTGCACTGAGAAACGCCCACCATAAAGAAGTCCAACTTACTCGTACTGCTTGTTTAAGGACCGACAGGCTCGAAGGCAACAAGCTCACAATCCCATACTCATGGAGCACCCCCACAGTGTACCTTGAGAAACACAGCTGAACGCCTTCTCTAAGTCCACAAAACAAATGTAGACTGGATTGTCAAACTCCCATGTCCCCCTTGAGGACCTTAGTTAGGGTAAAGAGCTGGTCCAGTGTTCCAAGGCCAGGACAAATCCTGCGTTGTTCCAGCTGAATCTGAAGTTTGACTGTTGAATTGATCCATCAGTAAAATGTTGATTCCAGAATTTTACTTTAGTAAAATATTGCAAGATGATTTTTTTAACGTTGTAAATTAAAAATCCTCCTTAGTGTTTGAAGAGTCGCTGGGATGTCTTTATCAGAACGGACGCTGTGAGCATTTCTGCGATGGTTCGGGAGAAAGACGACAATGTTTCTGTGCTGACGGTTATCAGCTGGGAGAAGATGGCAGACAGTGTGTCGCTCAAGGTAACCAACATTGAGACCAGTCAGCTCCAGCTTCCTCATATTCAGATTGTTCAGGTGTTGCTGCTGCACAAACAG